TACTCCCTGCTGGTTTCCATTAGGGCTGACATCCCAGAGCAATGAGTAAGTCCCAGTGCATGTCCTTCCTGGCCCCACATCACTCAGCCAGACCTGCTGCAAGGCCGCTGGCCTACGAACGAGTCCAGGCTTGAGGAAGCTCGTTTTTCCTCTGCGTCCCGCTGGCACCGACTGAGGTCCTGCACACACACGGTGCTTAGGCTGAGCCTCGCCACAGCCACCTTGTCCTGCCCCACTGAGGGGAGGTGGCAAAAACTGCCAGCCCTGGCAGGAGGTTGGAGGGATTGCTGCCGGCCAAGCCGAGGCGAGACTGGGCATTTCTAGCGTACAGAAAAGGAGGTGTCACTGGTGAGGGTGATGCCTGCCTTGGCAGTCTGCGGCAAGGAGCTGAAAGAGCAGAGCAGAGTTTTGCGGAGGGACCATGTGCGGGCCAAGTAGATGGAAGATCTCAGCTGTGTTTCCTCGCGAAAGGGATTTTTCTCTGGGCCAGAGAAGGGGAAGTGCCTGCGACCTCCTGATCTGGGACAGTGAAAGTGCAGGGCTGCTCTCACTGGTTGCAGGGCACGGAGCTGCCAGGATGTGTCTGCAACTTTCCCTTCCTTTGGGCCAGGCACCCCAGGACCGAAACAGCCCTTCCCCAGAGCCTGGAGGCTGCTGCTGCCTCTTGCACGTTAACCTCGCGGGGAGCGTCTTTTCACAGGGGTGCGATGCCTCCTCGAGCCCATGCAGGATCGCTTTTCTCTCCTGTAACATACGTCATCTAGCTTCAAAGCGTCACAAAAGGTATCAGGGAAGGTATTTGTGCTAATTGCTCATTAAGCATTTCCAGAAAAAGGGAGGCTCATCTTTTCCAAGACAGCAACGGCAGAGAGAAGTGTGCCAGGTACGGGAGCTGTTGTCCTCTCCACGCCCAGCTCCTTCCTGCCTCCATTTTCTGGCCTGTTGGAGGGCTGCTGTTTCTCTTTCATCTCTCCCTTTGTCTTACTCCTTGATTTCCCCTCCTTCTATCTCCTTTACTTTCTACGCTTAATTTTTCTCTTGGCTAGACTTCAATCTTCGCATTTCTTTTGCTCTGTCTGCTCCCTTGTCCTCTCCCCCCTCCCCACACTGTCTCATCTCTCTCTCCCTCCATTTACCAGCCAGTGCTGGCCACGAGCCAAAGCAGTGCCAGAGCTGTCAATAAAAGAGCCCTCCAACTAACTCCTACAAACCGTTCTGCAGCCTCAAACACCATTTCTACCCAAGACCGTGGGCTCCAAGCCCATCTGCAGCTCAAACCTCTCTCGGCTAAGCCCTCCTCCTACACAGCTCCACTACACGAGACCTTCACTATTTGTTGCTACAGCTGTAAAACCAGGGACTGACACAACAGGGGAGGGATTGTAGCTGCCAAAACACATGCTTCGTGCACCAGCTTCCCCATTAATCTACATCAGGCCCATAGTGGATGATGTTTATCGCATGTCTTCTCTCTGCTGCCTGAAGTCCATGCGCTGCAGGCCCCTACACACCTTGGAACCTTCACTGCACCAATGGGACGCACTCAGGGGCTGTGTCGAGTCCGCTTTGAGCCTGGCCTGACCTCCAGCTAACAAGCACCAAGCTGTTCTCTTGGTTGTTTCCCTTCATGATGAAGTGGTTTCTTCACCATCTTCTTCACTCGAGGATCTGGAGAGGGCTCAGGACAGGGAGCAACAGTTGCAAAATGATATCGGGCGCGAAGAACTATTTACCTGAGGAACAGTAGGGCTTCGGGATTCTGCCTCCCATAGATGATAGTGTCATCCTGATCTTGAGCAAGGTTAAACTGAGCTACAATCCTGTTTGCAAGCTGAGACATCTTGGGCCTGCCTGGTATCACGCCAGAAAAAATGATGGTTGCTGGAAATGTCATCAGCCACCTGGGAGCCAGAGCTGTGCTCTGTGGATGGCTCTGACCTGCTGCCCAGCCTGGGGCTGCTTTCAGGTGGGATGAGAACCTGGTATCTTGGCGAGGATGGCTGGTGAATTAAGTCCTGTGGTATTTTACAATAGCAGAGCTGTGAATCGCAGCTTCCCAGCTAAATTGCACTTGAGTAATGCTCTCATGACTTGACTATCTCCCCAACATTTTTATTAGTCATTTCTGTCTTCCCTACCGCAACGTGGTATTAGTACAAAATTATTGTTATTAGTACAAAATGGCTGCCCTGACACCCACTGCCATACAGCTCTTTGCAACATGGGGCTGTATTCCAGCAGCAAGGAGTGATTTTGAAGGTGTTTTTGGAGCCATCGGGGGAAAAAGCATCAATATGGTGGAAACAAAGCCAAAAGCAGACCTTTTGCCTTTTTTTTTCACAGCCCACCTGTGGGCTGGTCCCCAAGGGCTTGTAATGCTCCCACTGGAGTCAACTCAGTTTGACAATATTGAGCTCAACAGAAGCAGAAGCCAGGCCGGGGGAAAGATGGCGATGACAAGAGCCTGGGACAGAGAAGATTCAGAGGGTCCATGTGCCCTGGCTCCTCCGCGTGTGTAAGCAAGCAGAGCTGCATCCGTACTCCTGCTTTATACAGAGCTCTGCAGGAGCGGTTTGCACTCGCAGATAACGCAGCGTGGTGATCAGAAAAACCTGCCTTGCTTCTGGCTTGAGCAATTTGCCCCTACTCAGTGTTTCCATTAGTAAGTGAACCGAATGATGGCATTAGGTAGTTTGACATAATCCTGTTTGCCTACGAAGAATATACAACCTCCTGCTTCTGTAAGCACAGCAGGAGCCAAACTGCTTCAACAGCTTCTTCGGTCATAGCTCTAAGCCTCCTGTTAACCAGTTCTTCAACCTGCTTGGAAAAATCTCCTCAAGCTCTTGCTGCGTGTCAAGCTGCACGTTCTTCGCCGCGCTACCTGTACACTTCCACAGAGCTTCTACAGCCGCTCTTCAGCCTCTCCTCGCCTCCCTCCCGGCTGCCCTTCCTGGCTTTGCTTCAGGGTCAGTAGTTCCCAAGTGCCTCAGGCCATTTGTGGTAGACACGCAGTGCAGGAATTTGGTAAGACAAAGCCGTCTTTCATCAGACAATGACATTTATGCCCCTCTATCATCATATTGCATCAACAGGCATGGTGTGTCAGTGCCTCATTGTCACTTTGCTTCTGATTAAACACCTCTGGGGCTTAATGAATTTTCCTCCTGCTGTCAACCAGTGGTCACGGGTATGGTCATCCCAGCAATCCCAGGATAATTTTGGACATCCTGGGAGGGGTGGTGGGCCCAAATGCGGCTGCAGCATCCTTCAAAGGCTGAAGGGTGCTGTGGAGGCATCCACAAAGCAAGAATCCACCTTGCAAAACCCATTGTCCCAGCTGGTCGGTGGGGACTGGTCTCAACAAGCTGTTCAGAACGAGCTCCCCTCACCTCCAGCCATGCTCCTGCAATCCTCGCATCTGCCACCTGCTCTGTCATTAGCTCTTGGGCCGTAGCCAGGGACTGTGGCAACACCTGAACTGCTAATTGGGCTCTTGCAGCAGCGCTAACAAACAGAGCTGGGACGCCTCTGTCAGCCAAGCCAACTGCTCCGAGACGCGCCGGCGCGCAGCCAGTGCTCTCGCTGTGCTTCGAGCCCCCTGCGCTACAACGCAGCGGCAAGCTCCCGCAGCTACGGGCCGTGCAGATATTTTTAGCAACTGCGGTTTCGTTGCAGGGAGGGCAGCCGTTGCCAGCCAGGCAGGGCATGTCTGGGAAGCGGAGAAGACCAAGAGGAGCTGTGGTGGGGGAAAAGAGGAATCAGGTTGATCAGAGGTGAGTGGCACGGAGGGTATGGATCCAGCAGGTGGCAAAGGTACTATGGGGAGAGATATGGCTGCTCGCTGGTGGCAGAACTCTCCCTTGCACCCTGCTGCTGGCTGCTGTTTGCTCCCAGGATCAGGCCACAGCATTTAGGGAAAATAATCCATCAGAACAAGGAAAATAGAGAGGTGAGGGAGAGGAGAAGTCTGGGGCTCTAGAGAAGGATGCTTCCCAGGTTCTCTAGGTGGATGAGCTCCCACCTGGGGAATACCAGCACCCATGGCAGCATTAGCTGGTCTCGCAGCCAGAGAGCTGGGAAACCCTTCCACACTCTTGGGGTTTCCTATAGCCTCTGGCAGCAGGTGCATGCAACAGCAAACATTACAGAGATGCGGTTGCATCCGTTCACCTTCCTTTCTAGTCTGCTTGGTGAAGAGCATCCGCAAGGGAGAAAGCACAGACTCAGCTGCGGGCCAGCGTGAGCGTTTAACCCCCTGAGGTCCAACCTGCTTTGCTTGGCAGGGTGTGAAGCGGCTGGTGTTCACCCAGCACAAGCAAATGCCTTGGCAGGGCAGGCTCCAGGCAGGAGCGAAGCTGGCTGTGCCCCTAGGCAGGAGCCTTTTGAGCAGCTGTGAGGTGGAGAGCCACAGCCCTGCAGCCTGCTTTGGGCCATGGCAGAGCCTGGAAAGTCAGCCACTGCCACCGCAAGGTGAGCAAGATCCTGCCAAGCGACAGTTACCTCCAGGAGGAAACATGGCTCCCTCCAGGAGCAGCAGTCACTAATTCCCCCACCAGCATCTTCAGGTGAAGAAGAGGGTGGCCAACAGCCTCGCCAGGCATGGGAGGAGAGGGAGAGCTCTCTGTGCATTTGGCTGGTAGGGCAGCGGCACAGCCTGTGGTGGGGACTCTTTTCTGTCTGCAGACCTTGCAGGGAGAGGGGGCAAAATTAAAGACAGTGAAGTAAATGGGGATCCCCTTGCTATTCACACCTTCCTCAACAGAGCGGTATCACAGAACGATACGTGGGGAGGTTTTTTCCCCTTTTGTGAGATCATAGCCAGCTCCCTGTACCCAATTCTGTCAAGGTCAGCAAGACTCACGGGATAAAATCAGTGGGGTTTATCACCCAGGCAGACACAACGACACCCCCACCCCCCCCTTTTACCTCCCAGGCTGTGGAAGCCAAAAGGCACCTCCAGCCATCTGCAAGCAGCTTTGCCACACCCCTGAGGCGACATGGGCTTCTCCGGCTGGGTGCTGTGGTCTTGGCTTTGTGGCTTTCTCCTGGGAATGGGCATGGGCAGCTCCTACCAGCTCCTGCAGCCCTACGTGGGCAGAGAAGCTCTGGGGAAGACACTTGCGCAACTTTGCAGGATGCTGCAGGTATGTTAAAGGAAGGTGTCCAGCCCCAACCGGTTGTGGACTATGAAGCTCTACTGGCCAGGCAAGGGAAGGGTCAGCACACAGTTGCTAACACAGCTCTCCTGCCTGCAGATGACCAACGTGGTCCTCAGATGACCTCGTTCAACCAGTTTATCCCGCTTTCCAGGAAAGCTCAGTGGCAGGGGACAGAGATCAGCCTGGTGCTGCTGGAAGACCCCTGGGTTCCTGCAGCAGCTCTTCGCAGTTATTCCGTGTGCTCAGAGGAATCAGTGCTTCCGTCTCGGGCACCCCACGGTATAAAACACTGGGGCTGAGGCTGGATGGACTCAGGCCCTTTCATGGCATTTTAAGGTGCACACTGGGAAGCCTGGAGATTTTTCCTAGAAATGTAAAGTAGGAAAATCCTCTCGGCTGCAAAGTTGTCCGTGTGCTGAATATCTGTATGACAGACATGTGGTCAGTGGCTTTCTCCTGCAATAAATACTGGTTTAATATGACTTTGGTGGAGTATGTCTTAGTTAGGTGTTGTATTGTTCTCTACTTGCTACGAGGCGATTGAAGTCCCCACTGTCACCTCTGTAACGGGAAGGTTTCTACTTAGGTGCACTGGTTGGTCAAAAACTCCCAGAACAACTATCACCATGGAGGAAAATAAGCTTTTTCCAAAAGCACTGTGCCTTTGCAAAACAGAATGACTCCAAGATTAAAATAAAGTCTTACCAGAATAATCTTTCTTGGCTGTCTTTGTACCAACCAGTTAGTCTCAATGGCCAAGCTTTTAGCCTGAAGAACCAAGCGAGGTCTCTCTTGCATAGTTTTATACGCTTGATTTGTCTGAGATTTATAATCTGGAATATAGGAAAGTTTCTTTGCTTTTGTCTCCAAAAAAATCAGCAGTTTGTCGTTCCCCGTGCTGACGTGTTAGCACTTCGACTGTAGGTTATAGTGTTCAACGCCCCGGCCAACAGCGACTGCTTGCGCAGCCAGCCTGCTCTCCGCAGCCGTGCTGGGCGCCTTTGGCTCTGCCTCAGCACGTCACGGCCCACCTGCGCCCTCCCGGCTTTAATTTCTCAGATCCTATTTTCGCCTGGGTTTAGGCGAATGACAACATAGCAGTGACAGCGCGGCGACTCACGGGCGCCCTGCAAGAGCCGGCAGTGTCCCCAGAGGGGAGCTACCACGTCGGGACCAGCCTGGAGGGAGAGTCGGAGGAGGACGATGGCGCATGGAGTGTGATGAGCAAGGAGCCAGGTGGGGACGGGGAGGCTGTGCGGGGCCGTGCTGGCCGGGAAGGAGGCCTGCGCAGCTGCTGCCCGTGCTGGGTCACCAGGAAGTCTTGTGATTTCACCGAGTGCTGAGGGGAAGAGGGGAGCTGCAGCCTCCCTCACCTCCCTGCGATGTCTGCACCTGTGCGTAAACACCTCGCATGTCCCCAGGGTGCTGTCCTCCTTCCCACTGCTTCTCTCAGTCCTCTCCCAGCTCATGTTTGCGGTCTAAGAGGCTACGAGGATGGTGAGGGGACTGGAGCATCTGTCCTATGAGGAAAGGCTGAGGGAGCTGGGCTTGTTCAGCCTGAAGAAGAGAAGGCTGTGAGGGGACCTTAGAAATGCTTACAAATCTCTGAAGGGTGGGTGTCAGGAGGATGGGGCCAAGCTCTTTTCAGTGGTGCCCAGCGACAGGACAAGGGGCAATGGGCACAAATTGAAGCACAGGAAGTTCCGTCTGAACATGAGGAAGAACTTCTTCACTCTGAGGGTGACGGAGCCCTGGAACAGGCTGCCCAGGGAGGTTGTGGAGTCTCCTTCTCTGGAGATATTCAAGACCCGCCTGGACAAGGTCCTCTACAGCCTACTGTAGGTGACCCTGCTTCAGCAGGGGGGTTGGACTAGATGACCCACAGAGGTCCCTTCCAACCCCTACCATTCTGTGATTCTGTGATTCTGTCTTCCAGACACTCCTGCTGCTACTTCCCCCCGTGTCCTCTGCCATGCTGCCAGTCTGTCCCCCCAAGGATGCAAACCCCAGAGCTCCTCCAGCAGATGCGGTATCTCTGGGTTCCCACGCAGTTTTTCTGTGCCCTTGGCCCCTCACTTGCCCCGTGCATCGTGCGACCGCCGCTTTGGCAGGGCCCGCGGGTGACACTGCTGTGTCCTCCTGGCCGCAGCCGGGCACCGCACAGCGACGCTGGGCAGAGGCAGGGATGGAGGGCGACCTCGGTGGATTTTGGAAAGGTGCCCAGGGCCTGCTGCGATGTTGCTCAGGGCCTCTGCGGGAGCCCAGAGCAGCATGTGTTGACACTGAACATGATCACAGGGAGATCAGGGTAGAGATGAGGGAAGCTGGACTTGGCCCTTGCGTGAATTTGCTGAGCTCTGCAGCTCAGGCCCATGAAAGAAGCATTTTCTGCTGCAGCAACATCGCCCGTTGCCCTGCCCTACACATCACCTTGTGCGGGTCATTTTGGCTTTGGTGGGGTGTTTTTTTTTTTGCTGATGAAAGCCCTGGCTGCGCCTTCTGCAAGCAGTTTCTGGCTGATTCACTCGAAGGAAAACTTTGTCCTTGGTGGAAACACCCTGCCGAGTGGGAGGGACACGCTCCTTCCCAGGGATCTGCTTCCTTCAGCAGTCTGGCTGAGCCAGGCCAACAAAAATAAACCAAAAAAACCCCTCATATAGGTCTCAGCAACCGTGGAATAACACAGGAACCACACTCACCTCCTCGGCAGTTGGTGGAGAGGGCGGGAGTTCCCCCACGCCTCCACCTGCACCATTCCCTGCCCCTCCTCAAGGCAAAGTGGCAAGATTTGACCCTGAACCTTCTTTGCAGAGATCTCTTTCGCCTCAGCCACTGCCGTGCCTCTGAGGGCTTCTCGGGAGAATAAAAAACCCTGCGTCCTCGCCGGCACACGCACTTACCACACTGGAGTCACTTTTGCTGCTGGCAATGGCCACGCACAAATTGGCCATCGCACAAACTGGCACTTCAGTGACCGGTACGACTCCAAAGCACCATGCGTGCTGGCCAGGGCTTAGCCTTCACCGGGGTGTCTTGGGAGCCGAGGGGGCTGAAAGCTTTGTTCTTCAGCAGCTTTATAACACGCAGACCAGGTTTCTGGAGGCAAAGATTCTGGCTGACAGTGGAAGAACAGCTCTGCAAGGGCCGGGGCGAGCATGCTCCCAGCCGTGTTTGAATTGGAGCCCGGCCACAGAAACCAAAGGAAAATGCACGAGGTTTGGGAGGGGGGCCCCACCAGCCCTGTTTTTCCACCTCTCCGTCCTGGCATGCCGGGCAAGCGCCGGGGCACGGGGAGGCACCCACCATCGTCGGCGCCTGCGCCATGTGTTACTCAACTCCAATAATCCCAGGTCTCCAGGAGGTTCCGGGGCAGCGGGAGATGCTCTCCTGCTGGAGCACACTCGGGCTGTTTTGCTGGGCTGGTGTTCAGAACGCAGTCCACGGCATGGCTGCCTTACAGCCGGCTTCTCACGCTGGCATAAAGCTTTCCTGTGGGCGCCAGCCCCCTCCCTGTCCCAGCACAGCCCGCTTCGTGTCAGAAGCTGCTGCTGTCACAGGCTGCAAAGCCCAAGGCTGAAGCGTCGGCATTTTCTACCCAAGCTGTCTCCTCCCTTCAGGTGGGAGCCCGCCTGTTCCGTGACTCAAGTTGAAAGTTTCCTTCCTAATACCAGAGTCCCCCATGACGAGTGTCTCACCACCCCCCCACGCCCCTCGCTTTGGCGGTTTTGGGAGACAAGTCCCGTCTTGCCACCATGCCTTGCTGGAGCGCCCTACCTGGGGACCGACTCGGTCACTGCCCCAGCACCCAGTGAGCATTCCCACACCCAGGCACCACCCTGCGCCGGCCGAGCGCGGGGCTCCAGCACCTCCTCTCCTCTCTGAAGGCCAACGGAGGGCAGATCCCCGTCCCGGCACGCCGCTTCCAGGCTCCCTGCAACAGTACAGGGGCAAACACTCCATGAGGAACGCAGCTCTTCACCAAGCCTTCTCCCTCATCCCTGCCCAGGCTGCGCAGCTATCGGCTGCATAGAACCCCAGACCCTACCCGTGCGCAAACAGGGAAAGGCTCCATGCCCCCCCGCGGCACAGCCGAACGAATGCAGGGCAAGGCTCAGGAAGGCACACACGCGCCCTCGATTTTCCATTTCCAGAAACATGTCTAAGGGCAAGCGCTTGTGCGTGCTTTAGATAAATGATTACATGGGGTTTGAGACACAAAGGGGAAAAAATAGTTCTGTTGCTTAGCAGAGTGTGACAGTCACACGGCGCGCAGCAGGCGCGAGCAGCAGCCCGGCTCCCGGGGCTTGCAAAGCCAAGGGCGAAGCAGCGTCAGCTCTTCCAGGAAGAAATTCCGGCTGTTGGAGCACAGGTAAGGACACCCGTGGGAGCCAGCAGCCAGTACCAGCTCCGTGTTTGGTTTCACGTACACCGAGCACAGCTCCCTCCAACAGCTTTCAAAGGAGGCGGCGCGGGGAGCTGCGACCCACCCCCAGAGCAGGAGGCAGCTGGAGCGTGGTGGGGCTGGGGACGCTGGGTCACGCAGCCGTCTGGCACGCGCTGGGTTGGACGGGCATTTCAGCATCTTCCTCAGCACAGAGGGGCCATCTCATCTCGTTTTGCTAAAAAGGAGAAGCTCCCTCTGACAGAAATGCTAATAAAAGCTGAGCAATGAGAGATCAGAAAGACAACAAAGCCAGACCTTCACCACCACTGCTTGTTCTCACGCCCAGCCTCCAGCCCACCCTGCTATGAGCACTCACCTTAGATGAACACTCACAGCAGGGAGGGCATGGCCCGCACACGTACCTCACTTCCCTTCACCAGTACCTGAGCCGCCCCAGTATAAACCCAGAATGGTTGGCATAGAGGGGAAAGAAATCAACCCACCAACAGCTCCCCCTCCACAGGAAGACACTGCCTACCCCATGCACCGCCACCAGACCGATCCCAGCCAGGCCCCAGGGGCAAGGGCCCTAGCAAGCAGCCATGGAAGCCAGGTATTTTATGAACTCCACTGATGGACCAAAGGTCCCCCGTGCTAAAGGCACAGCACCCCCCTCCCTCCTCTCCCCCTGCCCCAGGAGCTCTGTCACAGCAGGACGCGGGAAGGCTGGGCACACCGCCGCCATTTCCCATCCCGCTGCTATTCTTGGCAGGGCGAGGAGGGAACGAGGCAGCTGCCCTCGCCACGCTGCACGAGGCTGGGCACCACCAGGCTGGTCCCCGCGTGACGACGGCTCTGCCACATGCGCCGCAAACAGGGGATCCTGCCCGCGAGAGGAGGCCAAGCACTGGCTTCGCCGACGGCAGGGAGGGTGGTCCCATCCCTCCTCACTCAGGACAGGCAGGGCAGAGGTGTTCTCTCCCCCCTGCGCACACACCACATGACAACCGGTTATTATATCATGCTTTTAATACAAACTTAAAAAAATCTGGAACAATAGAAACTGTACAGATTGGATCAACCTTTTGTTTTTTTGTGGGTTTTTTTTGTTGTTTGTTAACTAAATCTCTAGACACACCAATGTCCCGTTCCAAAATATTGCACAACATTCTGAATACAAAACTATTGATTGTATTCCTCCTTCGCTACAGAAAAAAAAAAAAAAGGCAAAAAAAGAAAAAAAAAAAAAAAAAAAAAACGGGGGGAGACAGCAATCTTCACCACTTCTTTTTTTTTTTAAAGTTTTTTTCCTGAAAAAATATTTTTTTTCTCTCCTCTTTTTAAGAAAAAATCTTGAAAAGAAAAAAATTACAGTTTTTTTTACGTTAGAAATATACATATATTATATATACCTCTTACATTTTACAAATGTAGCAAATTATTCAATACAAATGGACATCAACAAAAAGAACACAAACCCATAAAAAATAAAAGTTAAAAAAAAAAATTTCTCTCTTCTCTTCCTAAGAAACCAGGTAAATTAGTGCAGGTTTTTAAAAAATAAAACTGAAGCTGAACGCCTACATCCAAGACTAGAAAAGACCCGAACAGGCCGTTAGTTTCCGTTGCCGCCTGATGCTGGAGGAACGGTCCTGAAGCACACTTTTTTCCTTTTAAGATACAAAGGGGTTGGTCCCTCCTCTCCTCCTCCTTCCACTCACCCCAGTTTTCAAAGCGGGTACAACACGTGTGGCAGGATGAAGCGGCATCAAAGCTTCACACACACACAAGCGGGTGGCCGGGGGGCACCCCCACCTCTCCCTTCCCTCCCCGTGCCGGGGTGAGAGCACGCTGCTCTGCAGCAAAGGTGGCTCTGCCAGATGCGGGGACAAGGGGGGGGGAGGAGGGGATTGGATCAGGGAGCGTGGGCCAAGCACCCCTCGGTCCAGCACGGCAGGCGGGCTGGCACTCGGCAGCATCTCACAGGGAGAGGGACGGGGTGGCAGTGGTAACGTCCGTAAGTTACGGGTTCAAGAAAACCAAAAGAAACAAGGGAAACCCAACAGCTCGGCCATTCCTCAGCAGCCTGCCCTAGTCTGGAAACCCGCAGGGCTGAGGCTGCGGGTCTGGGCTCCGCTCTCCTCGCCCACCCACCGTGTCAGTCACAGCTTGAGGGCAGCAAGCAGCCCGTTCGGGAACCCACGCCGGGCACGAAGTCGGGACCGCGTCCCCTCCTCCATCACCCGGCGAGGGGAAGGGTGGGCTGGAAACGGTCCCTGGGGAGCCCCGGGCAGCGGCCGCCCCCCTGGGACAGCCCATTGCCTCCGCAAAGGCTCACTGGCAATACAACTGCAGGAGGGCTGAGTGCCTTCATCCCAGCCCGGCGGAAGTGAGTGGGAATAGCACGAGTTCAAGTCTGTCTCCCCTGAAACAGGGATGTCTTGAGAGCGCACACTGGTTCAACAGACACAGGAGAAGGGGATTTCAGAGGGTGCTCCAGAGACATCATTAGATGAAAACCAAACCTCAAGTTTGGGAGGCAGCAAAAAAGCTTATTTTTCTTTTAAACCGAGAACTTCAAAGACTGGAGTCTCATCATCTCCACCTCTCTCCTCTTCGCATGCTTCCACGCTCCCACAACAGCCTCCAAGGAGACCTCTCTCCCACCCGGAGAGCCTCCACCCAACCCGGGCCAGCAGCAGCCCTCCCTCAGCTTCCCGTGAAGGGACAGCCGCTCGCCTTCGGGGTGCCCGTCCCTGCTCTGCCTTCTAAACCTGCCACCGTCCGCACTGACGTGACCTGGCTGGAACAACGAGTTCAGGGCAGGCGCTTCCCTCCTGCACCGGGTCAGCCAGGGGAGGGGATTCAGTCAGGTGAACGCCTGGCCAAAAGCACAAAGCTACCACTCAAGAGAACAGCTTCAACAACACAGCCATTTGCCTTCCTCAAAAGCAGTGCCGCCACTCCAACTCGAGAAGAAGGAATTCTCTCTCCCAGACAAGATGATGAATTCACAGCAGGGAACAAGAACTCAGACCCCGGAGGCCGTACCAGGTGACCACCGGTGGATGCTGGACCCTGTTGCCAAAGGACAAAGTCCGGGAGGCGGGGGAAGGACCCAAGCCTGGCTTGGTGCCACGTTCCCCAGGTGGCTTTGCTACACCACGGGGCTGCCACCCGGACCGACCGGGCATGGGAAGGGCCCCTCGCTCGCCCGCAGAGGCAGGCAACAACCAGAGCCCTCAGCTCGAAGTGCCGCTCCCCCCCAGCTGCGGCCAGAAGCACACGAAGAAGCCGTTTCACAGTAACGCTCTGCACGCTGGGAGGAGGTCACAGAGAAGACTTAGTGCTCTTCAGCACCCCGACAGCACAGCCCGGGCTGGAGGGCCTGGAGCAACAACAGCACAACAGTCTACGCCCGTGGGCACAGCAGATGCTCTCCGTCTGCACACAGAGCCGTAACAGAAAAGCAAGCCCACTCACCCATTTCTGGCTAGCACACAACGAGAGCAGAGTGTGTGTACCTCCGCCGACACTGACTCATCCTCTCCCCGTCCCTCCTCCAGCGAGGCGGTAGGAAGAAGACATCCCTACACCCAGGCGGAAGGGCCCCATGTCCAGCGCTGGGGGCGGGGGGTGTGCAGGGAAGCGGGAGCATCGTGACCTATGTTTGCACCAGTCCTGGGCTGGGGGAAGGGGGAACACGAACTGAAAAAATCCCAAGACTCATTTAAGGAATAAAAAAGTTGAGTAGGAAAAAAGCACAGGGACTGAGTTAAAAAACAAGTCAGTGCTTCAGGAGCGTTGCCAGCGCAGCACAACAACACTGGGCTCTCTCTTTCCCCAAGAAGCTATATTTATAAGATTTGAGTATTTTCTGTATATTTCTATTCTTCTTTTCTCTCCCCCTTTTTTGTTTTGTTCTTATTTCCCCCCCTTTCCCTCCCCGCCACCAGAATACTCTCCTTCCTCGTGTTCAGTTGGCCAGGACGACAGGCTGGAACGACTGGCTGGGATACTGCATGGCATTCAGGTTGTAGCTGAGTCCTTCCACAAAGGGAGACTTCTCCAAGAAGGTGCTGCCGCCGAAGACCTGAGCCATATCAAAGGTGCCGCCCGTGCCGGCGTTGAACTGCGATGCTGGCGGGATGCTGCTGGCCTGGCTCTCACCGGCAACGCCATCGAAGAAGAGACTGCTGGCTCCTGGCGACCCGCCGTTGTAAACGAACTCCTTGGCGTTGGGGGAGAGCTGCGACTGCGGGGCTTGGCTCCCAGCGCTCCCGACGAAGTTCAGAGAGTGCATAGACAGGGAGAGGCCCTTGTGCTTCAGCAGGTTGGTGGTGGGAGACCTGACCATCCTCGGCTGCTGCCCGGCCCCACCGCCCCCTCCTCCAGCTCCTCAGCCCTTCTTCATCTTGGTAGAGCCGAACTTTGTGGCAGGCAAGCAGGGCGTGGTGAAAAGGCAGTGGTGAAAGTGATGGGCTGGGCAGAGCGGGGGATGAAGGTGGGGCTAGGCGACTGACCGAAGGAGGGGGACGGAGAGTTGGACAGCGAGTTGTCCTGGCTGCCAATGGGGACAAATACCTGGGCGTCAGGGTTGAAGCTGCTCTTGATTTCCTTGTCCAGCTCCGTGGCGCTGCAGCCCTCGCTGTCATCCAGGTAGAGAACCTTAACGGAGCCCTTCTCACCGATCTGGTAGGAAACCTCAAAAGGATCGATCCATACACTCAGCTCTTCCGGCACGTTGGCGCGCACATCCTCCACAGCCAGCCCACTCCGCTTGGCCGCCAGCTCCACCACCGGGTCCACTGTCTCCCCTATGTGAACACAACGATAGCCAGATCCCTTCATAGGCTTCTCCGGGTACCAGTGACCCTCATATTTCTTCTTCAGCAGGCGCTCTAGCTCCTCACCGAACAGGTCTGCCCGCCTCCGAGGAAGCTTGTTGTACAGGTATGAGATGATGAAGTTAAGAGCAACTTTGATCTCCAGATGCATACTCCCTTCGCAGCAAGCAAGTCAGGGCAGTGTATTAAAAGAGACAAAATGATATGCACATGAGAAAAG